GTATCTCATAGAATAATAAAAAAGCATTTTTTATTATTCTAGGTCAGGGTTTATCAATGTGATGTTTTGGGCTGGACAGTTGTGTTGTGAGGGACTGGCCTGTGCATTGAACAGTGTTTTGCAGCATTTTTTGCCTCTACACACTAGATGCCAGTAGCACCCTCCCCACTCTGTGTGTTTGTATTGCTGAGGGCCATCACTGTGACCTCAAAGTCCAAGCCTGGGCATCAGTTTCCACCTACTATCCCCAGAACATTCAGAGCCTGCCATCTGGCCACTGGACTGCTCAGGGCCTGAGCATCACCACCTACACATTGTAGACTCCACTGATGGCAATGCCAGACAGCAAGAAATGAAATCTCAATCTAGGAATCAGAGACTCGACAAATCACCTATCCTCAAGCCAGCCGACCAAGATGAGATGGCCAGGTTCTCAGATCTGGGTGTTACTGGGCAGAGTGAAATACATCGTGTTGGCTGCAGGCCTGACTGTCAAGGCCCCTCTTTTCTCTCCCTCTGGCCCAGGGGTCCTCAAACTTTTTAAACAGGGGGCCAGTTCACTGTCCCTCAGACCGTTGGAGGGCCGGACTATAGTTTAAAAAAAAACTATGAACAAATTCCTATGCACACTGCACATATCTTATTTTGAAGTAAAAAAACAAAACAGGAACAAATACAATATTTGTATTTGCTTGTGGCCCGTGGGCCGTCGTTTGAGGACCCCTGCTGAGTCTGGCCAGTTGTTCTCTGTCAGGTTCATGGCTTCAGCTGATGCAACTGGAGTCAAAGCAACTAACTGTATAGCATACCCCAGACAAACAGGGGAATCAGGAGTAGTTTTTTTCTTGTTAGATAAATAGCCACACAATATCCTAGATTTTACTTAAAACTCACACACACACACACACACACACACACACACACACACACACACAACATATATATATATTATTGATTTCAGAGAGGAAGGGAAAAGGAGAGATAGAAACATGAATGAAGAGAGAGAGAACCATTGATTGGCTGCCTCCTGCATGCCCCACACCAGGGATCGAGCCGGCAACCCGGGCATGTGCCCTGACCAGGAATCGAATTGTGACCTCCTGGTTCATAGGCTGATGCTCAACCACTGAGCCATGCCAGCCAGGCCTTGATTTTGCTTTATGACCCTCAGAACCTAAAATATTTATTATCTGGGCCTTAATAGAAAATTTGTCAATGCCTGTTTTATTTACTTATTTTTAAAGTTAAAATAAACATTTATTTAAAGTAATATATTTGCAGCCCTGATGGTTCTAAATTGTACATTTCAGGTTTAACCAATGTCATTAAAATTATGAGGACAGATGCAGACACAGATTTCAATTACATGATTATTTCTTCGTCCATTCTTCTCTTTTTTCCTTTCCCAAATAACCTCTTTCAGATATGGTTCAAGGTAGAATTTATCCTCCTCATATTTTGTCCACTGCTCTTTAGGCAAGTTCTGCTGCCTTGTCCTGACTGGATAGCTCAGTTGGTTGGAGCTTCGTCCTAATACACCAAGGTTGCGGGTTCGATCCCGGGTCAGGGCACATACAAGAATCAACCAATGAATGCATAAATAAGTGGTACAACAAATCGATGTTCTCTCTCTCTCTCTCTCTCTCTCCTTTCCTCTCTCTCTAAAATAAATAAATAAATAAATAAAGGGATAGAGAGTTAGAAACATCGATGAGAGAGAAACATCGATCAGCTGCCTCCTGCACACCCCCTGCCGGGGATGTGCCCGCAACCAAGGTACGTGCCCTTGACCAGAATAGAACCCGGGACCCTTCAGTCCGCAGACCGATGCTCTATCCACTGAGCCAAACCGGTCAGGGCATCCAGTGCTCTCTTAATGAGAAACACGCTGTTGTTATATAGGTTCTCAGGAAGCCTTCTAATGGCTTTTATATTTTTTTTTATTGATTTTTTACAGAGAGGAAGGGAGAGGGATAAAGAGTTAGAAACATTGATGAGAGAGAAACATTGATCAGCTGCCTCCTGCATACCTCCCACTGGAGATGCGCCCGCAACCAAGGTACATGCCCTTGACTTGAATCGAACCTGGGACCTTTCAGTACGCAGGCCGACTGGCTTTATCCATTGAGCCAAACCGGCCAGGGCCTAATGGCTTTTTTTACATCATCATTCACATGTATTATATCGTCTCACATTAACCCCAGTTTATTGAATCCTGCAGCTACCAGGTTGATGCTGCAAACAGCAGGCCTGCTCATCATTTTGACCTGAGATTGAAGCATTGCCTACTGGTTAAGTCCAAGAGGGCCTAAACCCCTGTTTTAGATAAATACTTATCTTACAATCATATAGAGAAACGTGTCAAAACATTTGATGTTTACTCTACCTGATGTCATCTTTGTAGCAAAATAAATAAATAAATAAATAAATAAGTCATGTACAAGTAAACAAACACCTGAAAGTGTTTTCCAAGATGAATACCCATGGAGCCTACACTTCAATTAAAAACTGTTGCTAACATCTAATAGGTCTTTTTTCATCTTAGAAGAGGGAGGGATCTTGGCAATTATTTTCTAACTAGAGGCCCAGTGCACAAAATTTGTACATGGGGGGCCCTCACCCTCTCCGGCCTGCACCCTCTCGCAATCTGGGACCCCTCAGAGGATGTCTGACTGCCAGTTTAGGCCCGATCCCATAGTCGAATGTCCCTCTTGCAATCCAGGACCACTGGTTCCTAACCACTCGCCTGCCTGATCGCCCCAACCACTCTGCCTGCCTGCCTGATCGCCCCTAACCACTCTGCCTGCCTGCCTAATCGCCCCTAACTGCTCACCTGCCTACCTGATCTCCCCTAACTGCTTGCCTGCATGCCTGATCACCCCTAACCACCTCTGCCTTGGCCCCTGACACCGTGGCTTCATCCAGAAGCACATCCAAAATGACATCTGGAAGGTTGTTTGGCTGTCCAGTCTAATTAGCATATTACACTTTTATTATTATAGATTATTGGCCTATTGTCATTATTTTATCACAGAGCCCATCATAGAATTAAGAACACAAAATAGCCTGTTTAAAATCCTTCAAATGCTGTCTCAGTTGGTGCCCCCCCACCCTTTCTCTCTCTCTATATCTCTCTACAACCTCTGAGTCTCAAGCACCCTTGCCTATGGATACCCTTGCCTATCAGGCTGTTTTTCCCAAATGGTGTCCCCAACAAGCCATGGACTATTACACCTCTGTGCCTTTCTATTGATGCTTTTCCCTTTGCATGGAATGTTCTTCTCAACTTCTTCACCCAATGAACACCTACTTTGGGATCCAACTAAAAAATCTCTCATCCACTGCACACCTGTATTCTGAAAGCACTTTGACCAGATTTCTGTTACATTATACTGTGTTAGTTATTCCTATGTCTCTCTCCCTTGATAAACAGTAAGCTCTTGGAGAGTAGGGGTATCTTATTTAGCTCTGATCCCCAGAGCCTACTGTAATGCCTGGCACTTGCTAGAAATTCAATAAATGTATGGTCGCCCTAGCTGGTTTAGCTCAGTGGATAGAGCGTCGGCCTGTGTACTGAAGGGTCCAGGGTTCAATTCCAGTGAAGAGTACACGCCCGGTTTACAGGCTCAATCCCCAGTAGGGGGTGTGCAGGAGGCAGCTGATCAATGATTCTCTCTCATCATTGCTGTTTCTATCTCTCCTTCTCTCTCTGAAATCAATAAAAATATATTTAAAAAATAAAAAATAAATGTATGGTCAAAAAAAATATATATGTATGGTCAATGAATTAATTCTGTAAAGGACATTGCTCCCGGCCAGCATGGCTCAGTGGTTGAGCATTGATCTATGAATCAGAAAGTCACGGTTCGATTCCTGGTCAGGGCACATGCCCAGGTTGTGGGTTCAATACCCAGTGGGGGGGCGTGCAGGTGGCAGCCAATCGATGATTCTCTCTCTCATCATTGATGTTTCTAACTCCCTCTCCCTCTTTGAAATCAATAAAAATATATTTAAAAAAATAAAGGGCACTGCATGGCTCATCCTCTCAAAAACTAATTCTTCCACTAAGAATTATTAGGTAGACACCAATCTACTCCTTCTCCTTATCTAAAATTTTCTCTTCTTTAGAGCCATTTCTTTGATTTAGAGAAACAAGTCTATAAGCTTTCTGATGGCAAGGTCTGCATCCTAAGTATTTCAATCTTATGTTTTACCTGAAAAAATAGAATGGGAAAAAATTAATGATCTCATTCACTAATACTAAATCCTTTCTGGAATTATTTTGGTTTGCTAGTGTTTTGCTTTTTTTTTTGTCTTCTTTTTAAAAATACAAATAGCCTTGACCGGTTTGGCTCAGTGGATAGAGCGTCGGCCTGCGGACTGAAGGGTCCCGGGTTCGATTCCGGTCAGGGGCATGTGCCTTGGTTGTGGGCACATCCCCGGTAGGAGGTGTGCAGGAGGCAGCTGATTGATGTTTCTCTCTCATCGATGTTTCTAACTCTCTATCTCTCCCTTCCTCTCTGTAGAAAATCAATAAAATATATTTTAAAAAATAAAAAATACAAATACAAATAAACAAATCACTGCCTACCTTTTAGCCAGAACCACCATCTTCCAGTAATTCGCCAAAATGACTAACACAAAGGGAAAGACAAGGGGCCCCAGCTATATGTTCTCCAGGCCTTTTAGAAAACATGGAGTTGTTCCTTTGGCCACATACATGCGAATCTACAAAAAAAGTGATACTATAGACATCAAGGGAATGGCACTATTCAAAAGGAATGCCCCACAAACGTTACCATGACAAAACTGGAAGAGTCTACAGTGTTACCCAGCATGCAGTGGGCATTGTTGTAAACAAACAAGGGGATAGATCTTTGCCAAGAGAATTAACATACATATTGGGCATGTTAAGCACTCTTGGAGCTGAGATAGCTTCCTGAAACATGTAAAGGAAAATAACCAGAAAAAGAAGGAAGCCAAAGAGAAAGATATTTGGGTTAAACTGAAGCACCAGCCTGCTCCATTCAGAGGAGGATACTTTGTGAGAACCAATGGAAAGGAGCCTGAGCTGCTGGAATCCATTCACTGTGAATTCATGAATTTATGGCATGGTAAGTGTAAAAAAAAAAAGACCGTGTCCAGTCCTAGCTGATTTGGCTCAGTGGCTACTGCAGGGGTGGGCAAACTTTTTGACTCGAGGGCCACAATGGGTTCTTAAACTGGACCGGAGGGCCAGAATAAAAGCATGGATGGAGTGTTTGTGTGAACTAATATAAATTCAAAGTAAACATCATTACATAAAAGGGTACGGTCTTTTTTTTTTTTTTTTTTTAGTTTTATTCATTTCAAACGGGCCGTAGTTTGCCTACGGCTGGGCTAGTGTCAGCCTGCAGACTGAAGGGTCCCAGGTTCAATTCTGGTCAAGGGCACATGCTCGGGTTGCAGGCTCAACCCCCAGTAAGGGGCGTGCAGGAGGCAGATGATCAATGATTCTCATCATTGATGTTTCTATTTCTCTCTCCCTTTTCCTTCCTCTCTAAAATCAAAATATATTTAAACACACACACACACACACACACACACATAGCCCAGTGTCCAAACTGAACAAAACTAAAGGAGTCAAAATGCTTTGCTCCTATAGTTTATCTTTGTAATGTATATATACATACACACACACCTATAGATAGAGTATATATACAATCTCTTAAAGGAGAATGGAAGAAAACTGTAAGGAAATCTAGTTTGGCTTCTACTTAATATTCAGTTGTATTCCATGCTAGAAATGAAGTTAACCAATATGAATAAAGATGAACACCTTCTTGGATAATATGTTGGTATTTTTGAGCAACAAATAGCATAACATAATATTCAAATTGCTCTGCTTCATACCCTTTCCTCTTATCCCCCAAAGAGCAGGTAACTTATGGAACAGAATTAGAAAGACCAGGAAATCGATACTCAGCAAAGTATACTATTATGACAGCACTTAACTCACAGAAAGCAGGGCCACCAATTTTGACGTTCACATGGCCTTTTCTACCTTTCTAATTGTCAAAGAAATGGAGAGTTAAGCAGAATTCACCTTCAATAGCCTTAACCATAAAGTCCATCAAACAGGTTAGCACAAAGGGTGTGTGATTTAGTAGAAAGTGCATGTGATTTAGTACAAATAAGAAAATGTTCAAACTTCAACATTGTTCCAAGTTTCATTTATATAATTAACTTTTACCTTTAAGTTGACTCATGTGTTTTTTGTTTTTTTTGTTTTTCTTACTTAAATAAATGTATTTCAAAAAGCAACCGCCCAGTTGGTTGGAGCATTGTCCTATACACCAAAAGGTTTTGGGCTTAATTCCTGGTCAGGGCACTTACCTACGATTGTGGGTTTAATACCCAGTCGGAGGGGAAATGGAGGCTATTGATGGATATTTCTCTCTCACATTAATGTTTCTCTCTCCCAAATTAAAAAACAAACAAACATATCCTCAGGTGAGGATTAAAAAAAAAAAAAAGCAGCCTGGCCAGTGTTGCTCAGTGGTTGAGCATTGACCCATGAACCAAGAGTTCCCTGGTTGATTCCTGGTCAGGGCACATGCTAGGGTTTTACAGGCTTAATCCACAGTAGGGGGCATGCAGGAGGCAGCCAATTGAGGCATCTCTCTCATCAACATTTCTATCACTCTCTCCCTTCCTCTCTCTAAAATCAATCCTATGTAATAAAGCAGTAATATGCAAATTGACCATCACTCCAACACACAATGGCCTCCCCCATTTGGTCAAAGATGGCCACCACAAGATGGCTGGCAGGGGAGGGCAGTTGTGGGCGGTCAGGCCAGCAGGGGAGGGCAGTTGGGAAGGCAGTTGGGGGGAACCAGGCCTGCAGGGGAGGGCATTTGGGGGGACCAAGCCTGTAGGGGAGGGCAGTTGGGTGGGACAAGGCCTGCAGGGGAGGGCAGTTGGGGGGACCAAGCCTGTAGGGGAGGGCAGTTGGGTGTGACCAGGCCTGCAGGGGAGGACAGTTAGGGGTGACCAGGCTGGCAGGGGAGGGCAGTTGGGGGCGACCAGGCTGGCAGGGAATAGCAGTTAGGGGCAATTGGGCTGGCAGGGGAGTGGTTAGGGGGTGATCAGGATGGCAGGCAGAAGCAGTTAGGGGCAATCAGGCAGGCAGGGAGGCAGGCAGGTGCGCAGTTGGGAGCCAGCAGTCCCAGATTGGAGAGGGTGCAGGCTGGGCTGAGGGACACACCCCCCATGCATGAATTTTGTGCACCGGGCCTCTAGTAAAAAACATATGTTTTTAAAAAACAACCAACACTATTTTAAATGGAAAAACCAGTGATACTTGGCAATAGAGGTTATCCACTGAAATTACTTTATTAACACAAATGGTATTAAATCCTAGCTGGGGATCCTACCAAAATGTTAGAGATGTAAGAGATCACTAACCCCCAAACTAAGGACATTCTTTTTGACATAATCACAAAGATTGAGAAAGAACTGAAAAGAGAGTAACTTGCCCATTGCTATTTAATGCTGTGTCCCTGTAACACCTAAAATCCTCGTTTCAGAAACATTGCAGTCCTCCTCCCAACTAGGCCTAAGTAAAATAAACTATTCACACTAGTATCTGGTAGAGTAGGTAAGACATCTTAGAGCTCAGGGCACCAAAGTTCCAAAAATCTAATCCCCGAGGGAAAAGGCCACTTCATTTCCACTAACTTAATTGTTTTTTTAACTTTTTTTTTTTTTTTAACAGAAGAGGTTGAGGAAACAACTAGAACATAGATCTGGAAATGATCAAGAAATACTGTAGGTGAAGATTCCTCCCAAGGTACTTACTTGGCAGAGGCCAGAGCATCTGCTTCTGTATTAGAGATGGCGACTGTTCTGGGTGGTAGGGGCAGGCCCACTCTCATGGGGCATTGACTGCTGGGCCTCAGTAGCTAGAGCCAGGGACTCGGGGAGCGGGGATACAGTGTCAGGGACTTCCTGGCTTAGTTCCTGGCCCCCCGATGGCTCCTGGGCATGTGAAGATTGTCTGAGCTCAGTCTCTTGAACTAAAGTAGTGCTCATGGGGGCCTGTTGGGTGTTATACAGGGCCTGAGAGTCCTGGACAGCCAGGGTGACCCATGAGTCCACAGGTTGGGTCTGAAAAAATGGGGCTGGCGTAAGCTGGGTCAGAGGGGCCTGGGAGGCCAGAGCCTGGGTTTGGAAAGCCTGAACAGGTGGAGGCTGAGTTTGAGAGGCCAGAGAATGATTCTGGAAATCCCTCTCTGAGTCTCCTAGGGCCTGGAAATGGCTCTGTGCAGCCACATGCACCAGGGGGTACCTCTGTGAGGCCATGGAAGCTGCAGTCTGGGTATCAGAGACCAGAATGTCCAGAGGCTGACCTGTAGGGTACAAGGGGACACCAGGCAGGTTGTCAGAGGCAACAGTGACTAGAGGCTGGATCGTAGGCAGGCTCTTAGAATAACAAATCCTGAGAGGCTGACTGACAGAGGGCGATGGGACCACGGGCAGGCTCTTAGAGGAGACAATGGCGGGAGGCGGAGGCTGGTTCTGAGCTGATGAAGTGAGCTTTACTCGTTCTGAATGCTGTACAGCTTCCGGTTCCGGGCCCAGATCCTCTCGGCCCACGTCTTCAGCCTCGCTACTGGTTCTGACACTTGTCATTTCGTCTTGGTCCTGGTCCTGGTCCTGGTCCTGGTCCTCCTTCGGTAGCTGCTTAGATGCCTGGGCTGTGAGGAGGCTCCTACTCAGAATGGAAGCAGCACTTTCGAGGAGTCTCCTGCGGCGCTGGCCCCGTTGGACCCGCGCCAAGGTGCGGGTAATGTTTAAGGTGAGCGACACATGCTGGATCAGCGCGCCCATGTGGGCGGGCCTCTTCCAGGTGTCTTCGGGACTCAATTCGATGTTGCTGGTGTACCAGAAGACCCACCAGAGGAGGCTGAGGAAGATGATGATGGAGCCCAGGTAGAGCAGCAAGTCGTAGAAGATGAGGTCGGAGAAGATCCCCACGAACAGCACCGTCGCGCCCACCGCGTCGAAGGCGACGCCCAGCCAAAAGAAATGCCGGCAACGGCCCAAGCACCTCAGCCTCCCGGCCTCCAACTCCGAGCTGCCTGAGAGCTCCATGACCTCCCACCGTCGGGGGCGCCCGGTCCGCAGAGGCGACTGCTTGGTTGGATGGCGCAGTCCCAGGCCGGCTGTGGCCGCTGGGTCCCCATCCCCATAGCAACCCC